CCCCAAAACCCCAAAACCCCAAAACCCCAAAACCCCAAAACCCCTTTAAACTATTTTGATATTGAAAATTAGATATAGATTTGTTAAAGTTAAAATCTTAGTCTTTGTTCCTGCCGCTGAAGTGGTCCATAGATTCATTAACACCAATTGCCTTCATGTAGAGATCTAAGAAGAAAGTTGGTAAGAGTGCTCTAGTCAGATAGATCGTGTTTGAAATGAATGGAGTCATTAGCATTGACTCATTCTGTCTGATAGCCAATACAATTCTTTCTGCAATCCAGTCAGGCTCTAGTAAAGGAACCAAGAATTCGTTTGCTTTTGCTCCCTTAAACATATCAGTCTTGATGAATGTTGGGCAGATACAAGTAGTGTTGATGTTAGCTCCAATCTTTTTAACCTCAAGCCTAAGTGACTCATCGAATCCAACAGCTCCATATTTTGATGCACAATAATCGACTAATCCTGGACATCCGACTAATCCAGCAGATGAAGCTATCGAAACAATATGCCCATGATTTTTCTTGATCATGCTTGGCAAGAACTCTTTGACAGTATAGATATGAGCAAGTGTATTGACTTGAAGCGTTTTCTCAGCTAACTGATGAGAGGTCTCCAAGATTTTCTTTCCTGTAACAATCCCAGCATTGTTGATTAAGATGGTGACATCACCAAATGTGTCTCTAGCTACCTTGGCAGCTTTAGTAATATCATCCACTACTGTAACATCACATTTGACAGCAACTGCTTCTCCTCCAGCTTCCTTGACCTCTTTAGCAGTTTGTTCTGCCCACTCTTGGTTAATATCAGTCACAGTGACCTTCGCTCCTTGTTTTGCCAGTATAAAACACATAAGCTTGCCAATTCCAGCTCCTCCTCCAGTCATAAAGACATGCTCTCCCTTGACACTCTTCTTCAACAACAGTCCATTATTCTTCAGGGCGGAATAAATCAGCCTTATCACTACAAACAGGAAGACTGCTCCTCCAAAATACCCAAAAGTACTAAACACGAGTCCGATCATTTTTAATAATCCTTATTTTCCCTTGCTTAAATCAGCCCTTCAACTGGTATCGTCACCATAGGGGTTTTGGGGTTTTGGGGTTTTGGGGTTTTGGGG